AATACCACGCAGTGAACCACTGTCAAGCTACGAAGAGCACTCTCCAATCAGGGAAATCTATTGTCTGGCATCTTATGCTGAACGAGGGCTCTCCTATTGAGCTGCTGGCATGGCACCAAGGCGTTGTCAACATGACGGTTCCACAATCAATCTGCCACACTCCTTCTAGGCGCCAGTAGGGGCCACTGTGTCTCTCTGGTAAACGCTCAGGATTGAAAAGCGTTGACGCAGAGACTGTGAAAGCATCTAGGATGAGAATACTACACTAAACAAAATGGCTGAGGAGGACTGGAGATGTGCCAAAATGTACCCACAAAATAATCAGGAACACTGACAATAGGAATCTACTTTAGCCCCAAAAAGACTGAAGTGTCAAGCTTTGTAGATTAACACGTTTATCAAAGCAAGAACTTGGCGTTTAAAGAACGTGTGCATCCAATGTTTCATATTCCACTCAATATTTTTCTTCTGATGTCTTGATATCCTTAAAAGAAAAGAAAAAGGCAGCGTCCCAGCCATGTAAGCCTTTGTTTTTTTTTTCTGTGTCGGCTCAGAACATATGAAAGTAAGTGTTAGACAGGTGCTTGCTTTGAGGTGAAGATGAGGCTGGCCCTCTCCTCATTAGCTGGAGCGCCACAGAAAGACCCATTCGCTGTGGCAGTTTTGGGTCATTCGCCCCTTTTTCCAAGTGTAAAAACACCTCATGGTGTTAAGAGCAAGAAAACACAGAAGAAGCAAGAAAACTTCAAAGAGCAAATAAGCTTTAATCTTGTTTCGTGCTCTATGAGAGTTTCAGTAGTCACAATAATGACTGTAGACTATATCCATAGGGGAGTTATAAACCTGGGCCTTTTACTTTTGAGAGGCTTTGTTTTTCTCCCAAAGTCTGTTTTCAAGTTTTGTAATTTGAAACAAACTACAGTGGATGCACTGAACCAAACCATCCTTTGATGCTCCATGGTTGAAAGAAAAAGAAAAGGAAAAAAGGTCAACCAATGCTTCTTATCATCCTCAGTGTCTGTGCTCACAATTTGCTATCTTCTATAAGTCCATCTTGCGATTTAAAGTGGACGTGAAATCAAAACTGAATGGTTTTAAGCGTTGTGCACTATTCTCAGTGCAGACTATTCAAAACAATTCAAAATGTTGTCTTTGTCATCAACTTGCCCTACCTCATTTTTCGGGGTTATTTAAGCCCATGTTAACCAATACCACATGTCTATTTAGCTATTTAGGCACAGCGTGCCAATAGTAATTTAATGCTTATTTACATTAATGTGATAAACTATACAGAGGTAACAGCAAATAACGATAGATTTATGAACTTGACCTGGGGGTTTCAGGATGAAAGTAGTCAAGCCCTATTTTTTCTCTCCTTGAATATCCTTCATCTAGAAATATGTCTCATTAAAGTCAAAGCTAACAATAAGTTGCAAGGTAAGAGGCCTGTTTATCAGATATTCACACTTATAATGTTTATTTAATATTAGTCTTAATATAAAGATTGTCAATCTTCAATCCTGCTTGTGATCCTCACATTTTGTAAAATACATGACACAAAATGCTGTTGACTTTTACACTTATAAGTGAAATGTTCCTTTAAAAAAAATCGGTAAAAAGAGCACTACATTTGTTCTAAATGTTTCCTTTGCTTGTGAAGTGTTTGCATGTAATTTTTGCCAGTCAGCAGCATAATGTCTTGACCATCTGAGTGTAGGTGCCGTCTACTGTCTGTGTCTCGGTAATATGGGTCTGTTTTCCCCATCACTCGCTGATGGCTCACATGGCCCGAGGAGCATGCTCAATGTGAGAGGCAGCTGACACCAGCATGACCCAGGTAGAGGCATCTGCACACAGGATTTTTCTGGAACATGCCGCGCCTGTGGCATTCTACCTCCACTGGATCAACATCTGTTTCATATGGAGGGACAGGAGCAACGTCCTTGAGGAATATGTCCGCTGTGTTCATTAATCTCTCTCGCTCGCTCTTTATTTCAGTAACTCTCCAACCGCAGCATCAGTCATTGCCCTGTCATATGTTACATTTACCCTATCACATTGCCATATGTCTGCCTCATATGTGCACTCATGATTAGACTTGAAATGACAATAGGATTTTGACTACACGCATGACAGATCTATTAAAGGGGACCTATTGTTTTTTTTTTATACATTTTCAACTTTCTTTAGTGTGTTGAAAACGACTGCAAAGGGAGTTATTCCAACGCTATCTTACGACCAATTCGTACGATTTGTCTAAACCCAAGTGATGGATAGGTTTAGGGGCGGGGCCAGGGGTAGGTCATTCATACGAATTGGGCGACTTATAAAATATGTACAATACAGCTAAATGTACATTTATTCATTTAGCTGACGCTTTTATCCAAAACGACTTACAATTGCTATATATGTCAGAGGTTGAACGTCTCTGGAGCAACTAGGGGTTAAGTGTCTCAGGGACACATTGGTGTCTCACAGTGGATTTGAACCTGGTTCTCTCACACCAAAGGCATGTGTCTTATCCTCTGCGCCATCACTTCCAAAAGTGAGGGAGTGAGGAAATACTAGCCACTAGGGCTGGGTATTGACACAAATTTCACAATTCGATTCGATTTCGATTCACAAGCTTGCAATTCGATTCGATTTCGATTCCGATTCGATTCAATATTGATTATTTCGGATATTAGTTACAATAAATTTTCACATTTTCAAAGCAAATTTCAAGGCAAATTGTCTCAAGGAAATCAAATCTCTAATCCTGTAAACTATGGCAGTCTAGTTGTAGCCTACTAGGCTTCATTAGCCTAATATGATGGTAATAATTAACTGTTTTGTAGCTATACAAACACTTGAATTACACTTTTATTTATTTTTATAATATGAACATTATATGAAATATAAACATTTAAATGGTGGCTGTCATACAAAACTTGCCAGATTTATGCAAATATGCATTAAATATTGAAGAACATTAAGATTATAATGCATATGCAATATGGTGTAATATGGTTTTGAATTTCTAAAGAATATGGACGCAATTTAAAAATTCAGACTTTGTTTCATATCAATAGTAACAAAGCACAAAGATTATTGCGATTTTTTTGGATGCGTGCAGCCGCAATACAATGTTCCATTCATTCAAATGAAACAGGATGACTAATTGATTCTTGAGATTTAAGAATCGATATCAGTTCGTAAAAATGAGAATCGATTAATATCGAGAAATCGATATTTATTACCCAGCCCTACAAGCCACCTCGTAAAATACGTACGAATTGCCATGAGATCGGTTTTGTAATTCTCTATAGACCTTATGTAGCCCCGCCCCTTTTCAGTGTTGCGCTCGTTGTCTTTTGACTTCCGGTCTGTATTTTCACAGCGATCTTGCATAGGTATGAATGAACTGCTTGTAAAAAAAATTCCCGGTCGAGATTTGTTCAGACATCTGCTTTACAATGCTTATGATAAACATTACAATGCTTATGATAACTTTTGTTAACTCTACAATAAGTAAATCCACTTCACCAGCTAATTACTCCGCGACAGAGATGCCATAGAAATATACAGAGCGACCGCAAAAACAAAAGTTCAAAGACAATATTCTAAAGATGACTGCGCCCACGTTTCTACCACTGTTACTGAACTTCCTTAAAAATTCTTCAATTAAAGTTTTCAGTTTTCTTCGAGAACAAACACACAAGATAATCTTCATTTAAATAATTTCCACGCATGCCATACGCAACAAAAAAATAAATAAATAAAAAAGGGCAAGACCTGGTTCAGACAAGTTAGAAGTGTGTTGAAACTTAATGGGCATGACATTTCCAAAACACCGTCGAAGCAGTTGGCCAATCCCAACACACTGGTCCAGCCGACCAATCAGAGCACACTGCTATGTTAGAAGGAGGGGCTTCATAGAGACCGGAACTAAACAGATCGTTACTGACAGACTGGGAAGGGAGGTGCTGCAACAATGTAAAATATGTGAACAATAATGTTTTTGAACATTCAAGCCTATGAAAACCTATTCTAACTAAAAAATTATGATAGTTTTCAATGATTCTACATACAGAATATGAATATTATGAATCTACTAGATTGTATGGTGCTGGTCTAGGGCAGCGTATGGAAAGGCTGAGGTTGCTCCAGCAGGTGTGTTTGAGGAAGGGGAAGCGCTCCGAATGGTGTCGAGTGGCACTGCAGCCGTATGTGCTGGAACACAGCCAGCCTAATTGAAGCACCTGGCTTAAGTCAACCTCCTCAACCCAGCCATTAATGCTACCGCTCTGTGAATGCGAGGAACATTTCTAAAATGAAGACTGTGACCCATTGAGACTGATATTCCTACTGTCTAATTAGTAAGTAAGTCGCAAAAAGAAATTCCAGTGAGATGAACTGGCCATATTTTTGAGGCCGTAATATTAAAGAGAGCTGATTCTCTTACCATTTGAATAGACCATGACTTAATGTGACATGCTCACCAGTAGGTCACTGCTCCGACATGGATTGATTGGAAACTTTTGACTAATGAATCATTGGATACATTTATGCATTATTAGCCTATGTCCTGAACAGTGAAGGGTTGAGCACCACTGAAGTGGTTTTAACGTTCCTTCTTTAACAGCCAAAACACGTAATACAATTGAATACGTTGTTTGATGTATAACAGCATACTAAAGGCTGTGATGTGATTAAGGTGTAGCCTACTCATGTTTTGTGTATAATTACAGCAGGTTATTTCAGATTTAAAAATCTTTATCAGTATTTCAGTAAAAAATTATAAAATATCCTAAAAGTCTATTTAAACTTTCTTGTGATAAAAAACAAGAAAAAAGAAAATGTTTATGTTATCCCATTAGCACATGTTTTTTTCTTGTTTGAAACATAAACCTCACAAATTAGTGTTATATATTTGCATATAATAATTTTAGACTTGAAGACATGAAAATAGGTCTTAAAGGCTTAGTTCACCCAAAAATTAAAATGATATTGTTACTCACCCTCATGTCGTTTCAAACCCCTACGCATTCATTCATCTTCGGAACACAAATGAAGATCTTTTTGATGAAATCTGAGAGCCCATCCATTGAAAGCTAATGCAACTACCACTTTCAAGCCCTAGAAAAGTAGTAAAGACATAATTAAAGACACCAGTGGATTAGACTCAATTTTATAAAGCGACGAATACTTTGTTTGTGCAAAAAAAATACTAATTTACCAATATAAAGATAAACAAATACCTCATTAGCAGCTGTCTCTATGAGCCACGATATGCAAGTCAACTGCCATATTGGAACAGTCAAAGCCAGTCCATTGACACTCGAGAGCATGTAGACTGTTAATATATACAGTAGGCTACAAAAACAAACCAACAAAATACTTGTGAAAGGTTATCCTATTTCTTCAGAAAAAAAACTAAATATGATCATAATTTTGTTAAAGCAACAAGATTTTTTACCTTAAAATAATGTTTCCAAAATCGTTTCAGTGGTTCATCTAGTCATAACAGCGTGAAAGGCACTTCTGGATTCGCTAAAGTCAAGTTTGAACGTGTAAAAAAATGATCCTTATTCTAATCATCTCCACACGGCTGTCTTGAAATGCCAACTCGATGTGTGCCATGCAAACGATCAGCTGAAAATGATGCATTCAAGCCAGTCAAGGTGGCAGAAACCTCCTCGGCACATCCGAATAAATCACCCTTGCTGAGACAGACAAAAGACCGTCTGTAAATATTTATCCGGAATCTATATAATTAAACGGGCAAATGTGTTATGTCAAATGTGTCAGGTTCTTCGCACAGCTGAATAATACAGTGGAACAGCTTGGTCAAACATTTGTTTTAGATCAGGGTGGCATCAGTCATTGTAGATGGATGGCTGGGACAGAGGGTGAGGAAACCTCACTGCTGAGCCCAGCGACTCACTGCTGGAGGGAAGTGCAGGGTATGAAAAACAAAGATGTATAATGCTGAAGAAATTATAGTGGGTAGTAAATCTGCATGATTAAGGCAAGCATGACATTGAATGTGAGGGTGCAGCTACGATTCGCCCGAGGGGAGAGAACGGAACATGGTTTTGTTGGCACATAGAGTCTCATTTACATGGGCTTGTGTCACACATTTATCTTGTATCCGTAGGGCAAATGCTGAATACAGCTGCAGACCTACACATGCCTACAGGTACTATGTAAGTATGCCACAGTATGTTCTGCATCCCTTCTTCACCAATGGGAATATAGCTTTTGATTTGTTACAATATCTCAAACATGCGATGAGAATTGATCATTTTTATCATCCCTGACCTTAAAGTTACAATGAAACGTAACATCTTTTCTATTGTAATGTGACGTACATCCAAGTGTAATGGATTATTGAAAATTTTTTGAGAAAAGTTACTGGGGCAATTTTAATGAAACGTATATATAAGTGAGTTTTCATTTCATGCCGACTTTAAGTAAATCATTTTTCTAGATGATTTCAACCAACATGATGAAAACAACCGAGAAATCGAATTATAGTTCCCATCATTCCCAACAAAAAAGCCATATCCATAGGCCAGGTGGGGTCTTTATTATTGGATTTTTATAAAGTTTGCCCTTTTAAGTCATTTTCCCGTTTAATACAGCTGAATTTTTAAAAGGACACTTCACCGATTGGCATTAAGCTTTGTATCTTTAGAAACAGTCATATTTTTGAATGGTCATGGTTTATTCCCTTATTTTCCCCTGAGATGGGAGAAATAAGGATTTAAGTGTTTTACTTCCTGCTTATTATGACGTAAAAATCTTCATTTTGCGACATACTAAGCAGGAAGTCACATTTCATTGTCTTCAAGTCTTCTAGAGACTACAAACATTAGCTCATTATTATTCAAGGGTGTGGGACTCACTCACCCTACAGGCCAATTACAGATCAGTGGGTGGGACTTCACTTGGGTGAAATGTTCCTGGAAAAATGTACAAAAATATGGAAAAATGTAATGGATGGAAAAATGTACAAAAATATTTTTTGTGTTAACTGGTAATATGAACATGTACTTTAGTACTATTTTTCCAATTTCTTCTACTTTTATTTCAGTTAACGAAAATGTTTTGACAACATTTTGGTTTTAGTTAATGAGAGCACTGCCAAGCAACCACTCTAGGACTGTTCCAATGAGTTCTGCACCAGTAGCACTCACATTTCCATTAGAAAATGTAAAAATCTAGTAGTTTTTGCCCCTCTGAGGATGAGATCATCCATCAATGCGCGTGAAGGTGAAGATGAAAGAACTGTGGCTCGCGAGACTGGCTCTGTCTCACGAGGGGTTAGAAGTGTCATCTCTGCCACTGGATTGATCAAGATGAGTGTGAATAGGGCGACACAGTGCCAATCTTGACATCTCTTGCTCATCTGCTCTCGATAATCTTGCAGCTTGTAATTTATTCCCCCCCTTTTTTATCATCTGAGGGTCTTGGGTGGGATTCCCATGTGAAGATAAGGTGTCTTAAGTCTCAACGCTATAAAAAATTTAATTTACTGAAAAATCAATTCCACATTTTGAGGCATCGGCCATCCATATAGATTCCCATTCCAACAGGGGCCACTTTTATCACATCTCATCAAAGTGCGACTGAGGGAGGCGGTTTATTCGTTTCCCGGAGACTCCATAGGAATCTGAGCAATGACGCTTGTCAGCATGAAATATGATTTGGGGGCTTGATAAGCAGACTTTGAGAGCTTGCTAATTTTAAATGCGGCAGATGCGTGATTGCTGCATTTCGCATTGAGCCCCGAACAGCGTTTACCTGCAATGCTGTTTTGTTTCGTGCGTCTATGGTGCTCTCTCTCCATCCTAACTCCACGGAGCACCTGCTGGGTCCTTGCGCTCTCTCACCCCTCCCTCTGTGGCCTGTGAGAGATGGATGGCTCGTATCTCTCCCGGGCCCACGTCCAGGTGTGGAACAGCTGGGGAAGACCGTGGTGGGGGGACGGCAGGGATGAGGATGGGGGGAGAGCGCGGCAGGAGCTATAAATTGCGCAGGAACTCTTGGTACTTAACACCGGCGTGTCTCTAGCGCTATTAATCATGCGCAGGAGCTCAGGTGTGTCCTGTCACTCCTCTGGCCGTCAGCTGCACTTATTCACCTCCAATCCTTCTCTTGCTTTTTCTCTCTTCTACGTTAGCTCTCTTTTGCTCTATATTTCTCATTTCCTTTCGCTCCTCGTGCCGTTACTCTGCGCGTTCAGTAGGGAGAAGGATGGGGGGTGGGGAGGCCAGACGGAGCCCCACTGATTTACGACCTCTCTCTGGTTGTTTATTTGGTGGAATGAAAGGCACATCACCAGCTTCGCCACACTGAATTTCTCACATCCTCCATTTCCTCAGTGATCAGTCCAGTCGTGTGTGTGAGAGAGGAAACTTGAATAAGCATCCGACCAGGATACGAGACAGACCAATTCACTCAACTTTTGAAGTAGACCCGTGGTTGACTTGCTCTCAAAATCAACCCAACAATCTATCCACCTATTTGCTCAGACTGATTTCATGAAATGGCGTATGTATTCCACGCCAATTCGCATTTGAATTTTTGGCGTGCTATCAACACGCATAATCGCTTTTCAGCGTGTTTATGAGCGCCGTTGACTTAACGTTACATTACTGTAAATATTTGACCTACCCACCCCGTCCATAAACCTAAACCTACCCGTCACTGGGGTTAATAACATTTATGAGTCTTCCTACCATCCTAGGAAAAAAATCTCGCTCCCCAGATGTAGATGTACATTTTGCTTCATTTCGCTCGGACATTTAATGGCGTGTACATACACGCGGAATCACTTGGTCATTTAATGGCGTAGACACATAGATATAAAGGCTAGATATCTCGTCCGCGCTGCTGGCCAATGGAGGTCGACGTCAGCACCTGGCGGCCATCTTGTCACAGGCAGCTCGCTCACTGGTAACATTGTTTTAATGGTGCATGTACTTTTTAAATCACCGTAACTTGCTCAATTTTCTACCGATTTTCAAACGGCCTGGTTTGTTATAAACGGCAGAGATGTAGTTATGATAACTGCATACTTATGAATAATAAGTGTATAAATAAATAATCATCCAGAATTACGTAATAACGTTTGTAAGAAACCAAACCGTTTGTAAATCCGTCAAGATTTCAACGAGATAAGAGTTTTTCTAACATCAGATACCACAGAGCCCGCCAGAAAGCCTGTCTGTGACAAGATGGCCGCCGGTGATGACGATAAATACTCTGCCGTGAGACATCTAGCCTTTATATAGATATCTATGCGTAGACATACATGCGGATAGCTCAAAATGCATATAGCTAACACGCCTCTTGACTTGAAAGTGGCGTGTATGTTTATGCAAAAGTCATGATGTCATGCTGATTTGCTCGACTATCGGATTTCTCTACAAAGCCACAGCATTGGTTGCACATCTCTGAGCATCATATAGCGGTGGTGTTTAGTTGCTGAATGAATCAGCCTTTTTTTAACAAAATGATTGCATCAATGATTTAATGGGTCACACATTAAAACAGTTTTCTCTCCTAGTTTCTTTCAAATGTTTTGGTCACAAGGTTTAAAAAGTTTGTTAATCGTTTTAAACATCAATCTTGGATTGCATGCACCTTCATTAATCATAGGTGAGTAATATTCCTCTCTGGTTGATTTAAGGGCAAGATGATATTTCATTTGCTGTTCTTCAAACATCAGTTTATGGACAGTAAGGTCAGTTTTTCTGTACAAGCGCTCAGTCTTTCTTCCTTTGGTTTTAAGTGCAAGCAATTCATTAGTATATCAAGGGAATGATCTAGCGAAAGAAACAACTTGTTCCTTCAATGGTGCAACAATATCAAGAATAGTGGTTAGCGCAGAGTTGAAACTGTCCACAAAATCAATCACAGGAAGCTCAGCAATACTGCTAAAGAGCAGCTGAGGATTGATGTTCTTAATGTTTCTAAATGTTATGACACGCTCTTTAACAGCTTTTAAAGAGGCAGAGATGGTAAATTCACCGGTTATTAAATTAT